TCCACACACGCTCTTTGAGCTTCATTACACCCGCCAATATCGGTGATACGCTGAACCATAACCGCCAGCCTGGCATGATGACCAGGAGGTTTGGCACTGGCAGCTAGGCCTTCGGGAGTCAACGCCACTCCACCCATGGTCATTGCCTTCAGAAGCATCGAGACTCACCGTGACCATGGTTTGCTCATTCTCTAGATCTAGCGCTCATAGTGAAGATTGAGTGCTGTTCGCATCCCTCTTGTCACCATTTTCAGCCGTCCGATCACGCCACAATGGTTGTTTGACCACCAGCAAGGATGCTGGAAGGACTTGGCACGAGCGATTCGGCCGCCAAGCTAATCGCGAACCCTTTTTCACCATCCAAACCGCGACTAAACCATCTTCGCAACCCTCTTATCGTGTGACGTCACGCCAGGTGTCACCTGCCCCCCTTGTCATCCCTCACCATTCTTCTTATTCCTTGACGCGACCACGAAGCCAGGTGCTGAGGGTGTGTCAATCGTCCACTTCAGTGTGGTTGTGCTAGGTGTTTAACGTTTCAAAACGGTCTGCTGAGTTTTGTTGAACAGTTGGGTAGGTTCGAGAGAAAGGAATGGGCACTCCCTCAGTGCGTGTCAAGAGTGGGATGTCTGTCGACACGATAGATATAGGCGGCATCTGACGACATCCGTTTTGTCGCTCGGTACAGAAGCTTTCTTGCTTTTCCTAGCCTCGTGTTTCAGGATGGCACTAGCTTTAGCTGCGTAGTGTACTTGCTTCCGCTCCCGACGAGTCCATCTTTCCCGCCTGTTTGTCATTCAGGTGCCTCACTTTTCAACGCGTCTATTTTCTCCATTCAACGGGTCTGTCTGTTCATCAAACGGGCTCATTACCGGCGTTCGTCCGCATCATGATGGCGTGTCTCAGCCGTCACCAGCGTCTTTCCCTCACATCCCTGCTTCTCTCTTTTGTCGTGGCGTCGCGTTTACAAACCGGTGTTGGCGCGTACAAAAGCAATGAAGGTGTGTTTCGCCTTGGGTAAGGAAGGTGGAAAGCGCAAGACAGGTCGCCGAGGCTCGCTGGTGAACCTATTATTTCAGTTTCTTTTTTTTTTTCCCCTTCAAAAACCACCGTAACTTCGGCTTATCACGTGGCACTGCGCGGAGCTTATCTGAGGCGACCTGATTCAATGCGGTTTGGCACGGCTCTTTACGCTGCGCTCTCTTTTCCCGTGGTGGAGTCATTTCCGGGAACCACTCTCCTCCTGTGTGTCTGCGACTGTAACCATCGCAGAGTCGGCATTACTCGACTTCAAACAAGCGTGCGGCGCCACCATCACTGACAGTGCCACATCACCCTGCTCCAATTATCCTTCTCAGACTGTCGATTGCAGCAGCAACAGCATCTTGTCCTTGTGAGTCCGTAGCCAAGCCACTGGCACGAGCGTTGTAACGACCCTTGCCCTTATATCATGGGCAACAAGGGTTGAAGTCCAAACTCAACATCCAAGATCCTAGGATATAAAATGGGGTACAAAATCAACTAACGATCCCCTAGCGTGGTATTTAGGAGGAACCTCCTCTAAGAGGTAGTTTAAGCTTGAGGAAGACCCTTGAAGAAAAGTGCTTGAGACTCTGGTTGGGTAGGGCTTCCCCTAGGAGATCACACTAGAAGCCACTAGTGTAGGGAAGCTTGTGAGGAGAACTCATGACTTAGAGAAAAATCCCATTTCAAGATTGATTTCTTGGAGTGGGAAGTTAAGAATGAGCTTCTCAGCCCAGACCCCTTCCAATGACTCCCAGCAGCTGCTCAACCTCCTCCATGGCTCCAAGGAGGTGAGCTAGCTTATGTGGCAAAGGGTTGGATTTCCAACCAATAAGAGGTTTACAGCAATATATTCAGATTAGCATTTAGTGTACATCATAAGAATATTCGAGTTGAGTTGGCACTGCCAACCAACTCACTGGTTCTGATTGGTCGAAAACCCAACCATCGCGTGAGTTGGTAATTTCGCCAACTCAATTTGTACAACTAAAATCTGATTGGCCCGAAGTGTCGACCAATCCCAATCCTCCCCTCCCAACCCTTCCTTCCTATTTCGCGCTACCTAGCATAGGTAGCCGTATTGTGGAAAGCGGTTGGGAAGGTCGTTTCTAGGCCCGCGTACTGTGCTGAGGCCATGCGTTACACTCCTCCCCCTCCAGGTGGCAACGTCCTCGTTGCCGTAGAGTGCTTCTGGGGACGGGTGCTTCGAGCGCGCCGAATCACATTACGACCAGGGTCAACACCATCCACTGGTTGTGAGGCTGCTCTTTGAGCCAGGTCTTCCAGATATCCGTGAACCGCAGTTTCGGTCAAATGTTCCTCTGGCTCCCATGAGTTGTGTTCAGGCCCATAGCCTTTCCACTTAATAAGGAACTCGCGTACTGTCTTGCAGCCGCGCTGTCGATCACGGTGCATGAGCACACGCTCGACCTCATAAAAGAGTTCCTCTCCGAGGACGATCGTTGGCGGAGGTAAGTACTTGCCTTCAGCAATGTACTTATTGAGCAGAGACACGTGGAAGACATTGTGAATCTGCAATGTTTCGGGTAACTTCAACTTGTAAGCTACCACACCAACACGCTGGATCACCTCGAACGGCCCAATCCATCGAGGGAACAGCTTTCGTGCCCCAGGGATTTTGAGACGAATGTTCTTCGTGCTCAATAATACCTTGTCTCCAACCTCAAAAGAGACTTCCCGGCGTTTCATGTCGGCATAAGACTTTTGTCGCTGCTGAGACAGCTGCAGCCAGCGGCGAGCAGACTTGAGCGCTTCTTGCTGCTTGCCCACAAAGTCTTTCGCGGCAGGGACTCGCAGTCCGCCTATCCCATGCGTAGCAGGTGTCGTGGGATGCCGACCACAGTTCAGAATGAAGGGTTTTTCATGGGTACCTTCATGGACGGAATTGTTCACTGCAAACTCAACCACAGGTAACAAGTCATCCCAATCATCCTGAGTTGGGCCAATGAATGAACGAAGCATTTGCTCAAGAGTACGATTCGTTCGCTCGGTCTGCCCATCCGTTTGGGGATGGAAGGCTGACGACATCTTTAGCTTCGTTCCGAGTGTCCGTGTAACTTCGTGCCAGAACCGGCTTGTAAAGCGCGGATCTCGATCGGACACCAGCACACGCAGTAACCCGTGTAAGCGGATGCACATGTGCTACAAACAACTTGGCCGTATCTTCCGCAGATACGTCTGTTGTAGTAGCAACGAAGTGCACCATTTTGGTCAGTCGATCCACAAAGACCAAGATCGCAGTATGGCTGTCTCGTGTTTTTGGGAGGTCTGTGATGAAATCCAGTGAGACACTCTCCCAGGGTTCGTCTGGAATCTCCAGTGGTTGAAGCAAACCACCAGGCTTTTTCGTGTCTGACTTGTTGCGAGCGCATGCATCACAACGCGACACGAATTGTTGGACCTCAGTCCCCAATCCAGGCCACCAGTACACGTCACTTAAGGCCCACCGGGTTTTCTTGATACCCAGGTGTCCCCCGTACTTGGTGCTATGCACTTCCTCAATTATATCATTCCGCAGGTTACCCACGTGGGGTATCACAATCTCTTTCTCTCGCCACCAGAGCTCATGCTCGTACTTGAGGCCCTTCGTATTTTGTGGGTTCTGAAACCAGGAGTCAATATGGTATCCTGTGCGGATGCGTTTCAGAAAACCACTGAAGGTGACCTCACTCACTCGAGCCACGGCAAGAATACCGAAGCAAGTAGCAACCACTGCCTTATCCTCGGTTTCATCAAGCCCAGTCGCTGCCCCTATCGGCTGTCTGCTGAGGGGGTCAGCCATGTTCGTAGAACCTGCACGATATTGAATATCGAATGTGAACCCACTAAGGAGTTCTGCCCAGCGGGCTTGGCGCCGAGTGAGCGTGGCTTGAGTAGAGAAATAGGTGTTCGGACAGTGGTCTGTCGTGACCACAAACTCCACACCTTCCAAATAACATCGCCATGTTCGCAGCGCATGCACGACCGCCAGCAACTCTTGTTCTGACGTCGTATAGCGCTGCTCTGCCGGGGAGAGTTTCCTACTCTCAAATGCCACTGGGCGGCCCTCCTGCAAGAGTACCGCCCCAATCCCTACTGTCGAGGCGTCTGTGACCACCTCATAGGGCTTAGAAGGATTTGGCAATACCAGAACCGGAGCATTGGTCAGCTTTGTTTTGACTTTGTCAAATGCCTCTTGGCATTGTCGAGTCCACTCCCATGCACTACCCTTTCGGGTAAGGGCTGTCAGAGGGGCAACGACAGTTGAGTAATTTTCCAAGAACCGGCGGAAATAATTGGCCAGGCCTAGGAAGGACCTGATCTGGCCCACGTCTTGTGGGACAGGCCAATTCTGAACAGCCACCACCTTCTTGGGGTCGACTTTAAGTCCGTCGTTCCCGACAAGATGACCGAGGTATTCCAGCTCGCGTTTGTAGAAATGGCATTTCCACAAACGAGCATAGAACTTATGTTCTCGCAACTTTCCTAACACCCATTTTAGGTGTAGAGTGTGCTCCTCTTCAGTCTTGGAATAAACCAAGATGTCGTCAAGGTAAACCAGAACGAAGTGCCCGATTGCTTCGCGGAACACATCGTTCATGGCCCTTTGAAAAGAGGCTGGAGCATTGGTCAAGCCAAAGCTCAGCACACGCCATTGAAAATGGCCAAACGGCGAACGGAACGCCGTCTTGGGAACATCCTCCTCAGTGATGCGCAATTGGTGGTACCCCTGTGCCAGATCCAACGCGCTAAACCACTGAGCACCCTGGAGTCGATCGAACAGGTCTTCTATCCTTGGAAGAGGATATCTGTTCTTGATCGTGATCTTGTTTAAGGCGCGGTAGTCGACGCACATGCGTAAACCACCACCCTTCTTGTTAACGAACAAGATTGGTGCTCCATATGGTGATGCACTTGTTGTGTGATGTCATCATATGCTATCACATTCTGTCTGCCTCCCATCCCTCGTTTCAATTCGCATGTATGGTTTGACTGTGTGTGAAAGAATTTGTGCGTGGTGTGTTCTGGAGTTTGGGAATGTGTTCTGTGTTATTTTGTTTGAGCAGGTATTTGTGATGATAGATCTTGAGAAGATCTTTCCGACGCAACAAGAATCTCTTCAATTGGAGCAAGAACGCGAAAGCTATGAAGATTCAAAGTTCTTGAGCTTGCGTTACAATTGCGGCGGTTACAGAGTGAAGTTGTGGGGTGACTCACAATGGAGTTGGGACCTTTGGGGTTGGGGAAATTCGTCACTCTACTGTAACAGCTGCAAATTGGTTGGGAACAACCAAAACTAGGTTGGCAATGGTGGCCAACTTGGATGGATTGGTTGGGAAGGGACAAATGTCAAAGTTGGGGTTCCTATAGGGGGGGGGGGAAATCTTTGTGCTTATGGGGTTTCCTTGGTTGGGGACTCTCTTGGGACCTTCCCTCTCATCCCTCTCTTTCATCCCAACCTTTCTCTTGCTCCTCTAATTATTCCTTGTGAGATTCTTGAACTTTGATTGAACTTTTGAGATTGAGTTAAGTTCTCCTCCTACAGCTTACCCCTCAGTGCGTCGAAAGACATAGCGTCGCGAATACTTCATCAATCGACGTGATTCAAATTGAGAACGGTAGCTAAGATTGAGAGCTACAACATATCCAAGTTTCGCGACATTCCAACGGCTAGTTTTTTGTCGACGTCGTTTCTTGTGAAGACGACTTTTCTGTCCAGAATTTCGGATTTATATTTTGAGTAATTCTAGCTCCTAAGTTCACCTAGACTCCGTCCTTAATCCTAACAAGTGGTATCAGAGCGATATTGAGGACATTGAGAGGAGTCTACAGAAGTGTGAAGACCCTTCTAGACCCACCATGGCCTGTGGGCGTGCCTAAGTGGTGTTCTAAAGGTTGGATGTGACTTCCGCTAAGGGGAAACTCTGCCGAAATTTCGTGGACGCCGACACTTGTGAAAATATCGAGGGAGCTGAGTCTGGACAGCAAAGGGGGAGCTGAAATTCGTCATTTCTCAAGGAGAAGATGAATGAGAGAGGAGGAGATGCTAATGGAAGAGGAGCTGTACCTGAGAAGACAAGTGAGCCGCCACCATCAAAAGTTGAAGCTTTGGATGGCTCCAACTATGAGGAATGGAGCGGGCGCATGAGGAGTGCCTTCAAACGCTACAAGCTACTGAAGATTGCTGTTGGGGAGGAGAAGATGCCGGAAGAAGGCGAAGAACGCGAACGGTGGATTGAGAAAAGCGCGGTGCTTTTCGACCTCATCCTTCAATCGGTCAACAAGGAGATGTTCGAGCACATCAAGGATCTTGTGGAAGCGGATGATTCGGGTCCAAGGGCGTGGAAACTACTACGCGATGTGATTCAGCCCAACACTCTTCCGATGGTGATCGTGCTCGAGAAGGAACTTGCTGCAATCTCCATGCGACCAGGGGATGATGTGAAGCCGGTCCTTGACAAGATCAAGGACACCTATGCAAGGATGGCAGCAGCGGGCAGCAGCGTTTCTCAGCTGCAGCAGTGCACCAAGATCATCTCGGTGTTGGATAACTCGTGGGACAACCTCATCCCCACCCTCAACTCTCAGCAAGATCAATGGACACCTGAGTGGCTGAGGCAGCAGATTCTGCAGGAGGACTTCCGCAGACGCCATGTGGGAGGCGGTGCTGCCACTAAGACTGCTGAGGGGTATGGAGCTGCAGGGCGCGGCAGAGGAAGAGGGGGTTGGAGAGGCCGAGGCCGTGGGAGGAGCTTTGGCAGAGGTAGAGGCCGAGGTGACTATAATGAGGGGCATGGGAGCTCTGGTGGCAGGGGAAGTACCAGAATGGAGGGCACCTGCTGGTACTGCAAGAAGGTCGGGCATCCTTGGTTCAAGTGCTTCAGCAGGCCGGAGGGATGGGCACCTCCAGGCATGAAGCCGCCCAGTGGTGAACGCGCACAAGGTGGTGCTGTGCAAGGCTCAGGTGCACAAGGTGAAGGTGCACAAGGTAATGCCTATCCTGGGATGTTTCTCATGGTTGAGGATGTGCATGGGCATGAGGGTGATGTGGGATCTGTGGGAAAGGTTGTGATGCACCCTCTCACGCACTGGGTGATTGATTCAGGTTGCACCAGTCACATGACCCCACGGGCAGATTTGCTTGATGAGGTAAAACCCCCTGGGAAGATCAAGTATGTGGCAGCAGCGTCAGGTGCTTTGCTCCATGTCATTGGTGTTGGGAATGCCAAGGTTAAGGGAGCCAATGGGGAACTTGTGGGGCTTGGGAATGTTCTGCTGGTTGAAGGTCTGTCTGCTAACCTTCTCTCTGTGCGGCGACTGCAGAAGAGCAAGGCCGAAGTGACCTTTGGACCAACCAGCTGCCGTGCTAAGCTTGGGAAGAAGGTGCTGTGGAGTCTGGAAGAGGAGACCAGCTGCATCAAGGACCTATGGCAGCTGCCCATCATCCCTTGGAATGGGAAGACTCCAACAACAGCAACGGCAGCAACGGCAAAGGCAACAGCAGGAGGAGATGCAACTGCACCAACTGATGGGGTCCTGGAAGCAGTCAAGAAAGTGCAGCAGCAGTAGACACATGGTGAGGTGCTTGCTGGTGTGGATGCGAGTGCGGCATGGGCTAAGGCTTCATCAAGGAGTGGTGAGGCCGATTGGGAGACATGGCATGAGAGGCTGTGTCATGTAAACTTCCCTATGCTGCAGAAGTTGGTGAAGGATGGGAGCCTGAAAGGCTTGGAGGTGAAAGTGGGAGTGAAGGAGATTGGGAGCTGCCCTACATGCTTGGAGACCAAGTTCTCCAAATTCCCCTTCAACAGCACTACAGGACCAGCCAAGACCCCACTTGCACTTGTGCACATGGATGTGGTGGGGCCCACAAGAGCCCCTTCCCTCTCAGGCAGCCGCTATTTCTTGACAATTGTGGATGACCACACTCGGGCAGTGTGGGTTTACCCTTTGAAGAGCAAGGGTGAGGTGGCAGCGGCTGTCCTTAAGGAGTGGATGCCTAGAGCTCGGAGGGAATGCGGACACAAGGTGAAGGTGATCCGCAGTGATAATGGTGGGGAGTTCATTGGAGCTGATTTTGAGGGGGAGTTGAAGAGGAAGGGGATCCAGCATCAACTGACAGTGCCCTACAATCCGCAGCAGAATGGCGTGGCTGAGAGGTTCAACAAGACCCTGCAGGAGGGGGCACGCACTCTCCTTGGGCGTGCAGGGCTGCCTGATCCATTTTGGGTGTCTGCACTGAGGTAGGTCGCCCTTGTGAAGAACAGGGTGCTGGCTACAATTGGGGATAAGGAGTGGATCCCATATGTCAAGTGGTATGGGAGTGCTCCAGCTGTGAACATGCTGAGGGCGTTTCGGTGCATGGTGGTGTTTCATGTGCCTAAGGAGAAAAGGGGGAAGTTCGAGGCTTCTGGAAGATGGGGTGTGCACTTGGGAATTGCAAAGGATCACAAGGGGTGGCTGCTGTGGGACTTGACCACCCAGAAGCTGACAGTGTCAAGGGATGTGAAGTTTCTTGAGTCCCTGTACTACAAGGAATGGAAGCAGCAGCAACAGAAGCTTCCATCTACACCGCTCATTGTGGAGGTAGATGAGGTGCAGCGGCCTTCAAGACAGGTGGAAGTTGCAGTGTCTGAGGAGGAGATGTCTGGGGTGACTGAGGAAGGGGGAGCAGCTGAAGTGGAGCAGCAGCAGCAGCAGCAGCATGAGTCTCCACCTCGAGTTCCACACCCGCCTGAGCGACCTAGGAGGGATGTGCGCCCTCCGGTGAGGCTGACCTATGGGGGAAGAGGCAAGCCGAATGTGGTGCAGGCTGGGAGTGTGGTTGAGCAGATTGAGGAAGATGAGATTGCATTGTGCTATTGGGCTGCAATTCCTCAGCCAAAGGTACTGACGCTAGCTTCAACTCAGTGAAAGCGGATGGCACCAGCATTGGGGGTTATGTGTGCTTGCTAGGAGGTGGTGCTGTGAGCTGGCGCAGCAAGAAGCAGAATGAGGTGGGATTGTCCTCATGTGAGACTGAGTACATGGCCTTACACCATGGGGCCAAGGAAGTGGTGTGGCTGAGGCGTTTGTTGGAGGAGTTGGGAGTTGGTCAGAAGGAGCCGACGGTGATCTTCTGTGACAATGAGTCTGCTGTGAAGCTCGCCAAGAATGCTTGTCTGCATGGGCTTACAAAACACATAAGGCCTAAGTGGCACTGGGTGAGGAGACTCCTTGATAAGGAGGTGCGGCTGGAGATCGTGAAAACCCATCAGCAGGCAGCAGATATTTTCACTAAGCGTCTGGCGGAGGCGGATCATTGGAAGGGCATGAAGCTTGCTGGGATGAGTGTGCATTGAGTATGCATGCTTGAGATGTGGCATGATGGATGATGGTTGGCAGCCAGAGGGGGAGATTGTTGTGTGATGTCATCATATGCTATCACATTCTGTCTGCCTCCCATCCCTCGTTTCAATTCGCATGTATGGTTTGACTGTGTGTGAAAGAATTTGTGCGTGGTGTGTTCTGGAGTTTGGGAATGTGTTCTGTGTTATTTTGTTTGAGCAGGTATTTGTGATGATAGATCTTGAGAAGATCTTTCCGACGCAACAAGAATCTCTTCAATTGGAGCAAGAACGCGAAAGCTATGAAGATTCAAAGTTCTTGAGCTTGCGTTACAATTGCGGCGGTTACAGAGTGAAGTTGTGGGGTGACTCACAATGGAGTTGGGACCTTTGGGGTTGGGGAAATTCGTCACTCTACTGTAACAGCTGCAAATTGGTTGGGAACAACCAAAACTAGGTTGGCAATGGTGGCCAACTTGGATGGATTGGTTGGGAAGGGACAAATGTCAAAGTTGGGGTTCCTATAGGGGGGGGGGGAAATCTTTGTGCTTATGGGGTTTCCTTGGTTGGGGACTCTCTTGGGACCTTCCCTCTCATCCCTCTCTTTCATCCCAACCTTTCTCTTGCTCCTCTAATTATTCCTTGTGAGATTCTTGAACTTTGATTGAACTTTTGAGATTGAGTTAAGTTCTCCTCCTACAGCTTACCCCTCAGTGCGTCGAAAGACATAGCGTCGCGAATACTTCATCAATCGACGTGATTCAAATTGAGAACGGTAGCTAAGATTGAGAGCTACAACATATCCAAGTTTCGCGACATTCCAACGGCTAGTTTTTTGTCGACGTCGTTTCTTGTGAAGACGACTTTTCTGTCCAGAATTTCGGATTTATATTTTGAGTAATTCTAGCTCCTAAGTTCACCTAGACTCCGTCCTTAGTCCTAACAGCACTTGGCTCAATCCACCCCTTCCTGAGGTACTCCTCAATCTGTTGCTTAGCCTCCTCGTACTCAGCTGGACTGAGGCGATACAGAGGTCGAAACGGTGGGAGCTTTCCAGGCTCCACAGGGATGGTGTGGCCCACGGCGCGGTCAGGAGGGAGTCCGTCTGGAATAGACTCAAAAACCTCCTTAAACTCATCCGCCAGTAACTTCATTTGAGGTGGAAAATCCTCAATGTCTGGCGTTGGGGTTCCAGCTTCCTCGAGCTGTATGACGAAAAGTGTATTAGCAACGCGGTAATGCTGTCCGAATTGACATGCCAGAGCAAAACACACGTCTGCACTTTTTGTAATTTGAACCACCGGGATGGTCATGTCGACAGACACCTGCCACTGGATTGGTTCACCATTCTTGGTGAAAGAAACTGTGTTATCCTGGAAATCCAAAATAACCTCATTTGCACGTAACCAATCCATTCCCAAGACTACGTCGACACCCGCAAGCAAGGGGAGAACGTAAGTGCGAATCTTTTCGCTATAGCCTTGGATTTCCATGTCGATCAATGTCCGTCCTTTGCTTGGGATAAGACTATCGTCCCCAAGACGAATGGGACATGACGGTCCTTCAACGAGGACCCCAAGCGGTGTGACCCACTTTTCACCAAGGAGGGAAACAGTGGCACCTGTATCGACAAGAATTTTCGCGCTATGTCCGTTAACGCGGCCCGAAATGAGTAGATTTTGTTGATGCATTGGGCGGATGGGGCATGCCACAATGTTCGACGAGGGTTTGTAGTACACCTTGACATTGTGGCGAGCTCGTCCAAAGGATTCCGATTTGGTCCACCACACATGGTGTCCCTTGTCCCAAGACGCCAGCACAACCCATCCTCGAAGCGATTTGAACGTTTCGCCCTTTACTGTACGAGTCACCATGGCGACCGCAGTCAGGGGGTGCTCTTGAGTACAACGACTCACGACATCGAGTACAGAAGGCAATGTTTCCAGGCCACAGTAAACGACTGAGAATTTATCGCGTAACGCTTCGATGGATATAGCATCAAGTGGGTACGATCGAGGTGCAAACATTGACTTTTTATTAAAAGAAGAGGCAAACAAACAAGAGATTTTGCATTCAGCAAGCTTCTCTAGCTTTACTAAATCATCGTCACATAAAGCATATGCCTCATCTCCCCGATCTATCTGACCAACTAGGTACCCACACCCTAGTTGGACTTCTGAAAATCCTTCTTACTGCCAGAAGGTCCTTCGCCGCCATTGTTGTTGCCCTTAGGCTTACCACTATGTTTTATGATATTCCTATAGCGGCACTGAAATTCCATGTGACCACGGCGGCCACACCCTCGGCAGACGACATTAGAGAAGTCCCTTGGCGGCCCTTTGTAACCGCCACCATTCGCCCTCTTAGCCGGAGGACGCTGCTGGTTACCATTCTGGTGGAAGGGTCTCTTGTACCCATGGCCCTTCCCCTTGGAATTCCACTGGCCACCACCAACATTGCCACCATCACCCCTCGCCTGAGTCCTCGACTCAGGCTGGTCGGTGGAAGGCGTTGCTAGCATACGAACAGTCTCGTCCGTTGCTTGAACCGCCTCTTTGAGCTCCTTGTAGGTGCTCCATTTGTTGAGGCCATTTGCGACATGCTTATCCTGCAAGGACTGGGGCAAATTCTGGAAGAAGATATACATAACTTCATTCTCAGACAGCTGCTTGCCCATCAGTCGCAGAACGCCCTCAAACTCTTGTGCATATTTCTGCACTGAGCGATCGCCACACTTGATGTTTTCAAGGCGACGACGCACCTCCATGTCAGTTGCCTTGACAAGAAAAGCCGCTTTCATTGCAGCACAGAACTCGTCCCAGGTGAAAAACTTTCCACTTGCTTCGAGCTGTTTCCGGCTAGCAAACATGGTTTGGCTAGCATGCTCATCCAACGCACCAGAGACGGCGGTGACACGAGCGTTGGTGCGCACGTTGTGGAGAGTCAGCATTTCATCCACAGTTGTCACCCAGTTCTCAACATCCGTCTTGCCATGGATGAATTTTGGGAGCGCAGTGGGGAGCGAGCCAAAAGGCGTTGCCATGGGCTGGACAGGTTGCTGAGGTGCTGCAGTTGTAGGAGATGCAACAGGCGGCGGGTTGGATTGGGTGCCCGACGGGCCAGCAGTAGGGGTGAGTGTTGGTAGATAGGACCCCGCCGAATATCCCTGTACTGGTTTTGCAGGTGGGCAATAGCAGGTTGCATCGGGGTGATTGTAGATTGCAGTTGGGCAGTTGTAGTCTGCAGTTGGGTGATAGCAGCTTGCAGCTGGTCGCACGTTTTCTCCAGGGCCTGGATTTGAATGCCCCTGTTATGTAACAGACGCTTGTGATCCCGTACCTCTCCATATGCCATATTGAGATCGGCTTGCAGCCTAGTCGTGTCGGTCTTTTGTGTCGCCAAAGCAATATTGAGGGAGTTGATGTGTCCCTTCTGCTGATTGATTATAAGCTGCTGCTCAGAGACTTGTGCTTGGAGTTTAGCCACATCATCGGAGAGCGACCATTCCTCGATGCCATCATCCTCCCCCTCTGCTCCATCAATCCCTTCTGCTTCTCCATGCTCTTCATTACCCTCATTCTCCAAATTCAGGTCCACCAATTCAATGTCAGCCATAGCCTCATCTTGCTGTTGGTTATTACTGGCAGCAAGGTTGGCTCCCTCAGGAGTCACATTAGGCTCCTCCCTTTCCAAGTTCTCCAAAACTTGACTTGAAGTCATGGTAAAACAAGGAAGATATTTCAATAGATCTGGAATGTTCTTTAAAATCTCTTAAGAAATCTGTTCAAGTCCCAATCACTGCAGTGAGAGGGCAAGACAATCTCTATAAAGAGATCTCTTAACAGAATAACTTAACAAGAGAAATTACAAGAAATACAATCTGTTGCCCAATCCCTAGCACCTCAATGCTAGGGCAAGATCTAAACTAGATCTTGCAACAGATCACAGATCTGAAACCCACTCCTCAAGGGAGTCTTCCACCAACAAGGTGGGTAAGAGAGAAAATGTTCTCTCTTCAAATCTTGAATGGTGGAGGTAGGAGAAAAGGTTGTGCTGGAAAATTGTCTTGAGAAGTGGAGGAATTGATGAAGATCTTGAAGAAGCTCTTCAAAATGACTTGGAGAAACGTGTGATCTCTTGAAATCTTCACTCCAATGTCTTGGATTGAAGGCCAATCACCCCTCTAAAAAAAATAGATCAAGAAAAATCCCACGAGGCTTAAGATTAACGTAGCTCTGATTTCCAATGTAACGACCCTTGCCCTTATATCATGGGCAACAAGGGTTGAAGTCCAAACTCAACATCCAAGATCCTAGGATATAAAATGGGGTACAAAATCAACTAACGATCCCCTAGCGTGGTATTTAGGAGGAACCTCCTCTAAGAGGTAGTTTAAGCTTGAGGAAGACCCTTGAAGAAAAGTGCTTGAGACTCTGGTTGGGTAGGGCTTCCCCTAGGAGATCACACTAGAAGCCACTAGTGTAGGGAAGCTTGTGAGGAGAACTCATGACTTAGAGAAAAATCCCATTTCAAGATTGATTTCTTGGAGTGGGAAGTTGAGAATGAGCTTCTCAGCCCAGACCCCTTCCAATGACTCCCAGCAGCTGCTCAACCTCCTCCATGGCTCCAAGGAGGTGAGCTAGCTTATGTGGCAAAGGGTTGGATTTCCAACCAATGAGAGGTTTACAACAATATATTCAGATTAGCATTTAGTGTACAGCATAAGAATATTCGAGTTGAGTTGGCACTGCCAACCAACTCACTGGTTCTGATTGGTCGAAAACCCAACCATCGCGTGAGTTGGTAATTTCGCCAACTCAATTTGTACAACTAAAATCTGATTGGCCCGAAGTGTCGACCAATCCCAATCCTCCCCTCCCAACCCTTCCTTCCTATTTCGCGCTACCTAGCATAGGTAGCCGTATTGTGGAAAGCGGTTGGGAAGGTCGTTTCTAGGCCCGCGTACTGTGCTGAGGCCATGCGTTACAAGCGTCGCCCTGAACCACGCTCATGAACGGCGTTCGCCTTGACCTTGCTATTTGGCATTGAAGCTTGGGACTGTTGCTGTTGTGGGTGGGACTCGTCGCGTGGCATGGCATGATGGCATGCAATAGCGTGGCTTGACTCATGCCAGAGAGTGGCGTGGTGTACTGTGGTGTGGATGTGGCGCCGTTGAGGCATGCTCATATGCGTTGTGCCATGCGTGATGGCATGCATGATGGCATGTCTGATGGCATGCGTGATGGCATGCATGATGACATGCGTGATGGCATGCATGATGACATGCATGATGGCATGCATGATGGCATGCATGATGGTGTGCATGATGACATGTCTGATGGCAGGGACTTATCTTACCAAGGGCTCTCCTGCTCCATCCCCTCCGCCATCAGCAACCTCGCGTCCCTCACCAACCTGTACGCATCCAAAGCTTCCTTCTCCTCTTGCCTCCCGTTGCGATGTACTCATTTTAATTCCA